GGATGGCTAAAATGCTTTCTGGGATATTTCACTATGCAGCTGCGACTGCTGGATCTATCATCGATCCATCTCACAGTTATCCATTTGTTTACAATGTGAAGAGCCAGAAATAAATTTATAGCAGTCTGCAAATATCATTCATTAATCTGAACATGAATCTTCATTAATCTCTTAGTTACTCATTTACTCTATCATTTCTTTTTCAAGAAAAATTGGGTAATTCGTTATTCCCTATCGCACCTGCGTCATCATATCAATTTGCTAAGTGCCATCAAGCCCATAAATTAAAATTTTCATTTCCCATTCCTAGAATTCCATTTCTGACTCATCAAAACTCTGAAATGAAATGAAGTATAACACAGCTATTTGCGTAAGTGAACATTACTATTCCAGATCAATATCATTAACTAGTCCACAAATAGAAGAAAAAAAATTCAGAGTTACACAGAGATGTATCTTTGATCATCCATGCAAAAAAGAATAGATGCCACATCAAGTACGAACTAAGTGATTAATAATACCTTAAGTATGTTTTTGTCGCTTCAAGTGAGTTTTTGAATAATTCAAGCTTTCTACTGATGCTTTTAAAAGTCACAATATTGATAATTATATTGATTAATGGGCACCTGGTAGTGGAAGGGGACAGAAATAGATGGATGGATGTAAGCAGGGATGGATGGTCAGTTTAATGTACTGGTCAACCAATGATGGAAAGCGTCCCTAACCTCTTTCCCTTTTTTTTTCTTTGCATACTAACTTCACCTTCTGCATCCCTTCATCTAATCCTGTCCCTAATTCAACGCACATTTCAAGTTTACATTATCCACTTATTGTTATGCATATCAGCAGTTCTAAGAAACTAATTTTCTAGTTTTGTCTTTACTCATATCCAGTTAATCAATACTATGAGATTGTTAATTAACCAAGCAATTTGATTGATGGAAGAAGTGAAAGAAATCCATGTAAGCGTTTTCGGTGATATCAAACTCAAAAGTAATGGAATATTAATATTAGAGTTCAATACAAATTGAATAAATTTCCGCTATCTTCTTCCTTTCTTTAGTAAGTGGAATACTGACTGCTGTGCAGGTCAATCAAGATTAAGTGATGAAAGCCTTCGCAGGAAGGTTATACATCAGTACTTTATTGCTTCTGAATTTGAAATAATCGAACTTTCCACATACCAAGTATTATAAAAAATCCCATACTTAAAATGCCCCACTTTGTTTACCAATGCTTTTCACCCATGAGTAGTGGCTTGTTTGAACTTTTGATAAGGATTGACCACGTTCATTTGGTTTTATCAAATTTCCCATTCTTTTGCTACTCATTCTTCGTTTTCATGATTCGGAAACGAATGCCATCCTAAGCACTAGCTTAATATTCCATTTCTGACTCATAACTTTAACCAAGTATTTCCACTTATTATCTTTCTCGATAGAGAAACGGCACAAAAAGAATGCATTTGTGATATTTTCTGACAAGAAGCGCCTTAATGTAGTTTCCACCAAAATTTCATTAATCAGCGATGTCAATCTTTCTATGCTGTGAATAATCATGTAGTCAAGTTTCAAAAATTAATGTGTCCGTGAAGTGTGCACTTCACTGGTTTCCGAGAGACTTAGAATTTTAGGAAACAGTATTCAATAGAAACTGTAATTTCATTTATAATTGACTAGTATTATAATGTTATTCCGTTCTGAAGAAATTTAAGAATTCCAATAATAACTTTGCGAAATTCATCTTAATTTTAGGAAACTCTTACTGTAATTTTACTGTTCTCATTTACTTTGCGTCTTGTTGGCTCACTTTTCCTCCTTTTTTGCTAATTGAATAAATAAGGGAAAAGTAATAATGTGGATTGTTCTTCTCTTGCAGTTATTTTTTGTAATAATGATAATCACCCAATTCTAATATTTTTTTCTCTCAGACATTAATATAAAATACGGTATGAGAAAGGAGTGCTTTGCTGTGATAATGCTGTCCCATGATGAATGATCAGCTTCTGGTTGATCGATCAGCAAGTCCGTTGATAGTTGATTGACATAAATCAAACAAAAAAGCGATGAATCTGCACCTTTATTTTGCACTTACTTTTCCTTTCATTTTATACCGTTACCAACTCAGTTTTTTTCTCTCTAATAAGCATGCTTTCGCGAATTTCGCTCTTTTTATTTCAACACCTTAATTGATATTTGATTTAATCTCCATTTGGAATGTGCAAATTACCATACTTTTTATTTTCTGCATGACGGCGATTTTTTCAAGTACGATACGTATGACCACTTTTATTTCATGGTGAGTTAATGTGAAGTTATTCAAATAACAAATATCACAGTTTTTTTACAAAATGAATAACATGATATAGCGTTTCTTCAGACCACTGATACCTGCTGATGTTTCGAATTCTAGTCTAACTAGCTAATATTACTGCCTACAGAGCCATCTCACTTTCTTTTCTTACGTTCCTACAAAATTTACCGATTAGTAAACAATAAAGATTATGAAATCGTTGCATATACGTACTTACTCCCAACATTATGTGAAATGCTCATCATTTGATGAAGACATCGATTCTTCTTATTAGAAAATTTGATCTCTTAATACTGACATTTTTTTTCAGAAAAATTAAATGCATACAATTCTATTTGTTTAAAATGGCAAGATTTCCGAACAAGCGCTTGCTTCTTTTGATTCCAGTCACGTACATGTAAATAAGTATTAATAAATTTTTGCTTTTGTTTTAATTCTTAGTAGCAAAAAAGATTTGAAAAAGGAAAATTCATAGTTAAATGTCTCTGCACAACTCTCTAAAGAAAACAAACCCAGCCTTCGTAAGCTTGTAGATAACTAAGAGAGACATATAATATGGCTATAATCTAAAGTAATAAACAAATACTCGAGGATTCAGAATTTGAAACTACAGCATCGTGCTGCGCGACCCGAAATATTTTGATAAAGTAATCTCTGAATTTGGAGATTATGAATACCGCACTTACGCTTATATTAAATGGATAACAACGTTAAGGCGTAGCACTATTCTCGATTGCACAATATTATGAATTTTCCTCATATTTTCAAGACATCAACTCAATTTTTCCATTACTACTACCACTTTAGTTGAATAGACCATAATCTGCTTGCTTAAAATCTCTGGTTTACATCCACTACATTGCCTCTACTTACAAATACTCTACATATCCTTCTCTCACTCTACTAATAAAAGATTTTCAGTTATTGGCCAAGCATTGTAAAATTATGACGCCCAATGTATACCCTATGCAATTTCTGTCCCACTTCTTACACTGCAAGATTTGGAATCGTTGTATTTGGGGATTCAAAATCTTTATTAGTTTGAGAGTATTGATATTCCGGACCTTTTTGGTCGTCATTATACTCATTTATGTCATTTTCATCATTTTTTATCTTCTAATCTTATTGAGTTGTCATCTTATATATCGTAACTTCCTTTTGTAGCAAAATAAACGTACGTAGTAGCTACCAATGTTTATTTTTTTTCGGGTATCTTGTGTGTTCGTTTGTGCATGAAACTAATCTGTGCATAGGCTAATATGCTGTTAAAAAGTTATTGATCGTAGTCTAATAGTCGTATGCTTTAAATATGACGCTAGAAATCATCATCTTTCCTACATATCAACTTGTGATTGAGTCTCTTGTGGTATTTAGAAGTATTGAAATATTATCTTTAATACAAGTTTTTCGTTTCACTTTTTGGATTCTTGCTTTTTGTGCTCTTTAAGTTTTCATTAGCCTTTTAAATTCATATCCCATGTGAATTTTTGATCTCTTTTTCAATGCGATTAGTGTATGACCGTGCTAATTCACGTGAGCTTCGAATACACTGCAGGATATGGTGTAAGATAGTTCTTTGGCTTTGGTTAGGATAAATCTTCGCACTGAAAAACATATGCTATCTTTTCTTGCCATTTGTTATCATTACTGTAAGCATTTATATAGTTGTGCTTATCAGATAAAAAGCAATTAAAATGATATGTGAAATCATTCCTGTAGGGTAGCTTTTGTGTTCATAACTTTTTTCGCTCGCTTACCATCCATTGTCTTTCATTCTTAGATTTCATGCGTTGCAAAGTACTACTTTCAAAATACTGATAAACTATTATCATAGTTTCTTTTCCGATTTATCCTCATTATTTTGAATAAATTTTGGACGATTTAACCTCTCTCAGTGCAGTATATTTAATACTACGAATCAAGCATGGAATATTCGGAAGTATTTTTATCTACACATCTTGGATAAAATTTTTGGATTGCTCTTTCTACGCTATTGCAACGCTTTAATTATTGCTCAATGTTTTTTTGCATTTGTTCCAGTCTTTGTATGTCTTTATTGAAATCTCTAACTTTTCTAAAGTTTAAATGAATTTTGTAAAATCTTTTACTACATTATGACTTTTACAAATAATCACTTTAAAAATTTTTACACCAGGATTCTAGTTGGAAATAAACGCAGAAATGTATGATTTTTCGAAAAATATTTTTGTGAAAGTTATGAGCACTGTTAAATGGAATTTATGGTGAATGGTAGTGTGTCCTAATTCGCATATTTCAATGTTGAATTTGCCTAATTACTTGGAATTGGAAGTTCTCAAAAGGTTAGTGAAGGTTGTTGGTACATCCATTTCTAGTTGAAATATTTGCTTTCTTAAGTATGTTTAAGCTGATGCCATTTTTTAACTTAATTTATTTGTATAGACTTTTTCTATTCTTTTTTCACTCATAATTGTATATTTCTGGTTTAAGTTGCAGTACCAATCTAATTGATCTGTACTATGCTTTAAATGTAAATTAACCATGTTGTTTAGAAGAAACAGTAGCGTTATTTACTTCTTTATTCACTTAATTGACAAACCACAGGTTTGTTGCATTTTCAATACAAATGTTTGCAGCACGACTCCTGGTACATATGCATAACATTTAACCATTTGACCTTATTGTTTACACTATTGTTGCTACCAAAAATGGTATCTGAACTACTCTTGAAAATACTGCGTAGCGTCCCACGAATCACGTTTAATCTTCAGCCTGCTTCAAAAGCTTTTACGTTGCAGTTTGATAGTGATTATATACAGGTACTTCCTACTTTAATTTGTAATAACTGCTATTTTTTTTGAAAAAGATGATAATTTCTATGAATAAATGAAAATTGTTGATTTTAATCTTTTTAGGCTTTCTGTATCTAGAAATTAAAGTATTGCGTTAATAATTCATATAAGTTGCATTTTTTTATTTCTTATAGAAAATACCAAAGTACTGTAGAAGACTCATGGTTTTAAAACGTGAGTAATTGGTAAATAAAATTAGGAAATTTTTAATTTCCATTTCTGTGAGAGTAAACGAAAGCAGAGAATTTGAAAATGAGATTGAAAATGTGCAAGTTGTTTTGCTTTCATATTCAACATGGTAAGCAGAAGGGAAAGATTGCTAGCTGTTAAAACGTTATAAAACTTAATATTTGTCGCTGAAACTAATCTGTCGTACCTATGTCATTTCGCTATTGGTAATCATCGTTGGACTCTGCATGACTACTTAAATAGTTCAAATTTTTTAAATTAAGATGAAGGCGAGATTCTTACTGACTTCAGTTGATTTTCGATCTTGTCACGTTAAGGTTTGTATTAGGGAAGGTGGAAGTATCACATTTTCATTCTTGCGTGTTAGCTCATTTACTTAACAGCTTTGGCACTTCAATCATTTTTCGATAAAAAATCCAGTGAAATTCTTCCATAGTATTAAGTTCGATCCAGAAAAAAATTTTTTTAATGTGGTGTACTGTGTAATTTATATGAGAACCTTTTTTGGTCATTAGTATAAGGTATGGATCATTTGTTTTCTTTTGATTCACATTTTTAAGATATATAATGGTAATAGTTTTTATGCAGTATGCTAGCACTGCAAGTAAGTGAGATTCAATCACGTTTCGCAGTCACAGGTAGATATTTCTAAAAGGATTTTATTGTTTGCATAATCTGCTAGAAAGTTTAGCTTATAATTATTTTTCATGAAGCACTTTTCAGGTTAAATGACTTTAATTAAAATTTACGTTTGTGGAGAATGTGATTGAAATTCAAGGAGATAAATCTGTATACTCGGTTATTTTCAGTCGTTGCTTGTGTACGTGAGTATCTTCTTGTTTATGGGGGCTACATTACTGCTGACAATTACTATAACATGGATTTGTCAGTGTTGCAGTCAACAAAATAGAAACCTGAAATCTAGACGAAGAGTCCGACAGTTATCGCTTATACTGTTTATCATCAGCGTGTTATGCTTGCAAGTTCTTTCGAGATTACGATAAATTTTTATTACTTCCAGCTGTCACATAGTGCTTCTAGATAATGAGAAATATTACTGTAGCAAAAAATTTCATTATTATTTTCATGGTCTGTTTAATAAATGTAAGTGATGATTGTCCTATATTTCAGCTTTTGCTTAGGAACATGTCTGTTTGGCAATGAACATCTGAATCGCAGTATAACCAAGTCAGTTATGGGTGCGGACTACATTTCACGGAATATTTTATTTGTTGATTCGCTAGTTAGTTGACAGTTCTTTGTGCAACTTTAATTCTTTCATACAAACAGTGCTGGATAATTAATTTCTTTTAGTTGACTTTTTTATAAATTTTTTGCGCCACTGCAAGATTTTTATTCCTTGTTGAGATTGTTTCAGTTCTGTTTCTCTTGTGATAAATTATCCTATCATGATAAATGCCAAAACACAGTTTTCAATCTATTTCGTAAATTCTAGTGTGTTTCTCTCAATGATTCTTATCTGAAAGCCATCAAACATATCGATTCCCTAGAGAGAGCTCTGGAAAACGTTGCAAAGACAGCACCTATTGCAAATAAGACGGTAAATTTTTATCTCTCTCAGACAATAAATATGTGTCATTTTATCTGAAAAATGTATAATCTTACGTAGGGTAGATGTTTTGATATCCTTTTTAAAATATTTTTTAGGCTTTAAAGGAATTGGAAATTGTATTGCATTCTACATCACAAAAAATCCACTCACTTGGTAGTGACTTGTCCGTATTGCGAAGTGCTCTTTCAGGAAATGTATTTCTTGAACGGAGTTTTTTTTACATCCAACGATTCGAGTTAGAAAGGTTAGTAACAATTAAATTATCGAACTTGCAAATGTGGGGCTATATGATTGACTTGTCTCGGACATTAAGAATATTTTATGTTTAATCACTGTTGACATCATTTTATGGAAATTTTCTTGTTGCTGATTTAAAATTGTTTGTGTCAGTGGACAGTTGATTGCGACGCTTTATTATGTCACATTTTCATAATTTGTGTTATAGATGGATTCTTTGTGCGACTTTACTTTCCATCATGCTTGTCGTCCTATTTGTCGGTGTTATCGCATTTTGTCGACAGTCAAAGAAAGGCACAGTTGTATTTTCTGCTCTTGGCTTTGCCATTTTTATCGTTGGATGGCTTTTGCTCACGGCTATATTTCCTGTTTACATGGTTCGTTCTTAATAATAAAAGGAAGGATAGAAGAATTGTTCCCTTTTTCATTTTCAAACTTATTTAACAGAAAAAACTTATTGATCTTCCATTATTTTCTCATTCATTTATGGGACAAAAACATTTTATTTTCAGGCACTAATCGACTTTTGCGCAGATGGTAATCATTTCATTAAAAACTATCTGCTAAATGAAACAGTCGACCTAATCGAGTTTTACCGAACTTGTTCTTCATCTCTTGTTCATGACGATTTACCATTTATCGTTGATATTAATAAAATCAGTTCCCAGCTTATAAGTTTACAAAGAATGGGTCCGATTTTTCATGCTAACATAAGTGTTCTGTTCAACAATAGCAACATGACAACTGAGGTAATTAATTTCGTTTAAGTGCAAGCAAATTTGTAGTTTCTTTATCGCCTTTAGTTTCATTTTTCAATTTTTTACCTGTGTAGATATTAATCGCAAATTGAGATTTAAATTGTGCAGATTTAAATTGCAATTGATTTTTTCATTGACGTAATGTAAAGTATATTTGTGTATGGTTTATGTTATTCCACGGTATAATATCCTTATATCTGGAGATAGAGTGGCTTACACTCATATTCAGAATTATTTTGTCTTTCTTAGTATTTTGCAGTTTGAATGAAAAATTTCTTAAGTTACATTTTCATCTTCGTTGTTTTCTATTTCATATTCTTCGTTATTCATGGTTTTAGCTCTTTAAACTTGTGGAAATGATAAGTGATGAGATGATAAACGCACTGAAAAGCGTTGGTGCTCTTGAAACAAATTTTGCGTGCTACACTTATCATAAAGATGTGCTTGCCATGAACCATGGTTTTTGCATTGACGGAATGTAAGTATATTTTGAGTTTTCTGGAAACTTTGGAATTAAAATTTTACGATCAAATTTTGAACTGTACCAGTTTGTTTACAGCACCGGATCGTCTATTTTGTTATATTGTTTGATATTGCTTGAAATATTCTTATTCTCGCTTTTACTCATCATACCTAAAAGTTGGCATTTATTCGCTCGGCTGTGAGTGTTTTCCATTTTAATTATATTTTATAAGTAAATGAGAAATGTCGCTTCTTGAGGAAATATGAGGTTTGCTCTAATAAGTAGAGTAAGTAGCTGTTAGCAATTTATAGCTGTTTTAGCGTATTTCAAAGAAGTTACAAAGTAGTAGAACAAAGTTTACTCCAAAAGAAGTGATGCAAATTTCACTTGCAAGTGAGTGGAAAAAAAGAATCCTTGTTATATTCTTTTATCTTTGACTACTTCTAGAAACGACGTTCTTCAGAGTTAGGACATTTTTGACTCTAAATCAGTGAGCAGTATTTATTATTGTCACATATTTTAAAATCATTACCTCCTACAGTTTTGAATTAGGGCAATTTGCTTTTTCTTTGGAATTCAAATTCATATGTCTTGTTAATATTCAGCAAGTTTATAAATTGTTAGTCATGAATATAAATTCTAGTATTTCAAGAAACAAGTCTTCGTTGTTAATGGATGAACTGATAAAAAATTATTTCTTGCTTCACTAGTATTCCTTGAGAAGTAATCAAGGAAAAAGTTTCGGAGGCATTTAGCTAAAACTAATTTTTATAGCCTTTTGTGTTCTGTTTATTGTTCAGAAATCTAATCATTATTGAAGCAAAATTTAAATTTTGATCCACTATAAATTTTAGGCCATCTGATTATGTCGAAGTGGATGAAGAAGATCCGTTTTTTACTCGTGGTAACGATAGTACGATACCGGTAGATATATACGGTAGTCATGTGTTAAATCCACGCACACTCCTTGCTAACTCTTTGTTAGTTCATCTTTTAAATTCGTTATAAGTACACATTTTTATCGAAATTTTCCGTTCAAAATATTCAGTTTTTTTGCAGAGATCACGCGGAACAGTCAGTTGCAACAATAAGTGCAATTTGTGGCCTGACAAATGGTTCTGCTAACAATCATGCATCCGTTTCAACTCCATTGCTAGATTTAAATGCTGAACAGTCAGCATCCCAGTGGCATCATGGACTTAATTCACCACCTGCATCATCTTCCACTGCTAATGCGCCGCCTGCGGTAGGAACGAACAGGTTCTTATAGTAAAACTAAAAGGATTCTAAATTGGATTTCTTTACAGAAACTAGCTTCTGGTGTCATCTTAATGTTAGTAATTGTTATCGCGTTTTACATAGGCAAAATTTCATGATTGCGCTCATCATAATTTTTGCATTAAGGATTGATTGGAATAACATTCTGCAACTATATTTTTTATTCTTGCAGTACGATGCGTATGGAATATCTAACAGACAGCGTTGAATCTGGGCAGCCGTATCCCAATCTTCAAGAACAATTCAATGTTTAATTCCTGAAAAACTAAATTTATGCCATGACTTTTTTTTAAATTTTTACAGGTTATACTTAAGCATTTTCCAAGCTGATCGTATTTGCTCGATTTTGCCTCTGTCTTTTTGAGATATCATTTGTAATTAGTTTCACTGACAAAGTTATGTCTTACATCAAGTAAAATACCTTCGATTTACATACTTTTTTTTCAATTCTGCAATTTGAACAGTTAGAGATTTTATTTACTTCTCTAATGATTAAGCACTTTTCTGAAAAAAGATGAAATCAGAATATTTGATATGATTCATGTAACTCGATAAAAATTTAATTTCTCTTCAACATTACACTTTCTTAATGGAATTTAAATTTATTATATGATAGACATAGTATGTTGTTCTATTAATTTTTTCAACTCAAAAAACTTGTTCTTTTCTCATTTTACGCTACTTTTTTGGTTCCAATGAGCATTCCCAACTTTTTTGATTCCAGTAAGCATTCCCAAAGATTTAGCCATTTTCACCTTATTGTTGTGCACGTCGCACACTCCTTCAGTAGTGTAATCACTTTTGTTACATTTTCTGCTATTTGATGAAAATGAATTTTAAAGCGCGTATTAAATATGTTCTTGGTCTTCGTTTTCAATCATAATTTTGACTATAAAAGTATTTTGTAATCCACTGCAAATATTTGAGTTCATCACTATCTCATCCCAAGTCATCACATACGGAATTATTTTCGTCCTGCAATTCATCTCTGACCCAATCTTATTAGCAAGTAGGTCATATTTTCGCTTCTTCTCGATCTCGATTGCTGCTAACCTATGCTGACCAGTGCTGCCAACTTGACAGTATCGCGCTTCATCCTTTTAGGGTGGTATTTCCAAATCGTAGCCTCATTGATGAGTTTGATATCGATTTACTTCACGTCGCTTCTTATCGTGTACCAGGATGTCCAGTCGATCCGCTTTTATTCTAATTGCAGTTCTTACGTATCGACTCTAATTTTAACGTTCTAGTTCGCAACAATTTCCTGAACAGAGTGGCACCGCAAGGTTTTAGACTATACTTTTTCAAAGTCCTAAATGGATGCATCGCAGGACTTCATTGTGTCTTATAGTACAGTCATGATACAACATTTTATCACACTGCGTTGCTATATGGTCCACCGTCTTCAAGCACATACG